AAATATAAAAATAAGTATATAGATGACTAAAAATAAAAAAAATAAAAATAATTATAAGGAATAAATTTAATATATTTAATATATTAATTAATTTTTAAACATGATTCAACGTTTTTATGTTTGCTATTTTTGCTAATTTTGCAGTAGTTGAAAGTGTTTTTAACTTATTAAATATTTTACTTATCAATAGTTTTACAATAATGTACATTTTATATTCTTTATAATCTTCTGTAAATTAATTTAGCCACTTTATAATTATCTTGTTTGTTTTTAAACGTTCAATTAGTTAAAATATTATTTTTTTTTCGTTGTAAAAGATTTTTAAAATTATTTTCATAAATTTATAATATTATTAAAATTAATTGATAGCACTTTAAGTCCTTTCCTACAACCAATTGATACATAATTTTTATTTCATAAATGCAATTGGTATTTTTTGTTTAATTTTTTATCTGCTAGTAATTTATTTTGACAATGGTTACAATTAAAGTGTTTGACACATTTATATTCTAAATTGGTACCCTACAAAATGTGTGACTAAAAAATCCTTCAGAATAACAATATTGTTTGATTTATTTTAGTTAAATTATCATTTACTAATGAAGGAGAAGAAATCGATAGATCGGGATTATATTCTGTATCAATATCAAAAGTATCTAAATGTTTGAAATTTATTTGGTGATGTGATTTCCCTACGTCAATAATTAACGTCTTATTAACTTCTTGAATTGTTTGGCAATTGGTGTTATTGGACGAAAACAAAGAAAAAAATACACAAAAATAATTAGAATTAAATGAACCGGCTGATTTTAAAAACTATTTAAAGGTGGCAAGTAATTTATTCTATAATTTATTAAATTTAGTAATATCTCACGTTGAGAAACAAAATACAGTAATGTGTGAATCTATTTCCACTGAAGAACTTATAAACAGGGCTGTATCAAGGGGAGCTTGGGAATTCTATAGCCCCGGGCCGCAAGTTTAAAGGGACCACAATGTGATGCCATTTTTTTTTTCATCAAATACATATGTTAAAAAATAAAATGTTATTATAATTTTCAATAATATAAAAATAAACTATTATGACTAGAATGACTGTTATATAATCAATGGTAATATTAATAATTTTGATCTATTGGAAAGTACATTGACTTTAAGGATTATAATACGTATTCACTCCGTTTCAGACAAAATAAGATGTACATATTATATTTAGTATATATATGGTATATTATTAAATTTAGTATATATATATATATATATATATGTATAACCAATATAAAAAAGCTGCAGCTGTATTATATTTTTAAAATTCGATAAAATATGATCAATTTGTTGGTCATCAAAAACATATAAATTATATTTTTAACATTTATTTATCAAAACTTTTATATTATTATTACGATTTGTGAAAAATATTGCACATACGTACTTGGAACAGTATTCTTCGTAATTGTTTATGCGTAGAATAATATGGATATATATTATGGAGTATTTATCCAAGCAACTACGATTTATTGATCACTTAAATACTTTAATAAATATTAATGTTGATATTTAAGTATAATTTGTATCACCATATTTATTAAACATCTCCAAATGATAAATATGACATAAATACATAATTTAAGGATAGATTAGTAACATAAAATTACACATTTTGTATTTAATTTTATTTAGTTAATAATATTAATTTTACTGTTTATAAAATTGTAAGATAGACGAACTACCTATTTTATTTGATCGTGTAATGTATAACTAGACTTCATTCACATTATCTGAACTTTGTGTTTTACTTTGTACTTTACACTTAATATTATTTTATTTGTTTTTATAGTGCAGCAGGCTTGTGAAAAGTAATATTGTCTACTTAAAAATATGATAGTACATGCTATACATTATATAATATAAACAATAAAATATATGGCAACATACGAGTTTTTTATTTAGTAGAAATAATCAGCTTGTTGAAATATGATGATAGCTAACTAAAATTGTATTATTAAAGTCAAAAGTATTATGCTATATGCTATTTATTAACTTTGATGTTTTTTTTTGAAATTAGGGCCCCTACACGAACCTATTCAGTGAGGTTTCTTATCTTTTAGAAGAAATAAATGACAAAAACAACAAAAAAAATTAAAAAAAATGATAGTTAAATGTTTAACTTTCATCATTAAAGCTTTAGTTGGAAAAGAGTTTAAGCAAAAAAAAATAATATGACATAAGTATAATATGTTAATTTTTATAATCATCAACGCATTTTGATTGTTTTGTATTATTAAATTGTCAATAAGCCTATGTTTGTAAAATCTAATACATCATATATTTTAACATTATAATTAAAAAAAATATTTTATATTTACTTTATTTTAAAACTTTAAAATAATATCAATTCATTACCTACTCTGACAAACGTGATCAAATTCATCATTTTATAATGAGAGTTTGTATAATGTACTTGTCAAATTAAAAATAACAAATAATAATCGAAAAAAGGATTTCCTATAATTAATGAACTGAATTGATGTTGAGCCAAAAGTTATATTTAAAACTTTAAGTATAAAATTTTATTATTTTTAATTTTATGAAAACAAATCTATTCAATTAAATTTAAAATGTGTATATTTGTTAATATCTGAAGAATGTGTAAATCTCAAATATTTGGTTATATCAGACTACAGTGAATGTGTTCATAAAAAATACTACCACAGCACTTGCTTAATTTAATTTGATTGTATATTGATTGTAAAATTATACCTACTTAAACTTAAGTTAATATAATACAGAGTATTTTTTTTAAGTAGCTCGCTCACTCATTTTTGGTAGGATTATTAATTCTTTTAGATTCTGATTGTTTAAAAATATATATTATATTCTAAAGATATCAAGGTCATCACTAAATCTCTATGGGGGTAAATTCAAAAACTTGCAAAACTTTTCACCGTCTAAAATATTTTTAATTCATTCTTTTATGTATCAACAATTAATGAAAAATACAATTTTTATTTACAATCGCAAAAAAAGCTATTAATGAAGAAAATATTATGTACAATTTAGTGAATTGACTGTATAAATTACATTTTTGTTTTTAACAATTTTCAAAATTAAAGTGTAATTTATTTTTATTAGGTCTTTAAGATTGTCATCTGTTGACCAAGATCTAAAATTATTTTTAGTAAAGTTCATTTTCGAAAATATCAGTTTTTGATAAATACACTAAACCAGATATTTTACATAGCTTTGTATTTAATTTATTTTAATTAAAAATATTAAATTAAACAAAAACATTTAATTGAGATTTATAATCTATAATTAGAAATAATAATAACCAAATTATTTGTATTAATTAACATAAAATGTATTATATTATATTATATTATCTAATAATCATCATCAGTTTCTAAAGGCAAAGCCTTAACGTAGTTAATAATAATAGTAAATTACAATATATTAATGATAGTTAATATTAAATAAGAACTCAGTTTAAATAATCCTTCAATTATAATAAAATTTGTTTTTCTAATGTATACATTCTTTTATTTTTTTCGTATTCAGTCGCAATTTTATTGACTTGATGAATTTTTAATTCAAAAATGGTCCTACATTACAAATATAATACTCCAGGCAATCATTTATTTATTTATATCTCCACATAAACTATTTGTTTATGTATTGATATATAATTTACTAAGTTTTAATTTTAATTTTAATTTTATAATATGGTACCTCAAGTATGAATTTAATGGAATAGTAAATCATGTCCAAAGTGAAGCCTGGACAATACAGAAACTCTTACTGTTACGTTGTATTCCGGTTCGGTCACTAATCTCAAAACGAATATGCAGGAAACTTTTTTTTTATTGATCTAAATTACAATTTCGGCTAATGTGGCCATAAGTTACATTGTTTTTAAACTACATTATTGTGTCTATATAGTACATTAATTAACAGAAAATAGTATATTATTATTTTTTTAAATTATTTTTCATGTCCAGTATCCTTGAGAAAAAAGATGAGATTGACAGTGATTGTTGGTCCGATGGCTTTATAGATAATTAGTTGGGATATTATATTTTATTTTTTGGAAATAGTATAAGCGTCTGGATAGTCATGAATAGTCTGTTACTATATGCTTGATTGATTGTATTTCGTTGCATGAAGTGTATGTTGTTGGTTCCTTGTGGTCCATTTAGATGACCATGTGTCAGACGAGTATGACTAATTCTTTATCGGTTGATTCTTGTGTTTATTTTTCTGGATATTTGGGTTTGGGACAATTGTTCTATGTTTTGTTTAATTTTAGTTGTTTGTTTCAACCAATGGTTTTGCCAATTATAAGGTCAACTTATATTATATTATATTTTATTTTCTATTTTTTTTTATGTCAGAAAAAGCTATTTGATTGTAATTTGGTATTTTTTTTTAACGGTCTACTACTTCGTTTCCACGTGTGTTACAATGATTAGGTATCTACATAATACAGATTATTTTTTTTACCTTGTATTTTATTCATCATTATTGTAGATTTATCATCGAGTTAAAAATTATTTTGCATACCACTTATGTCACTCAAAGAGTCTGTAAAAATATGTTATATTTTTGGATGGGATTTTCATTTTAGGGCCGTTATAATAACAAGAGTTTCTGCGTGCATATAGAACTCCGATTTGATAATCACAAGAAACCATAACTGTTCGAATTCCAATGTTTCCATGTTGTGCCGTATGATGCGATTCCAACTCGGATATATTCGACAATGCTCTGATAACATAATTTACTAATAATACTAACGTATCGGAGAACTGATCGTATACGTTCAGACGAAGAAAACATGCCCGTTTCGGTATCCTCGTAAAGGACCTGTGTCCCGGTAGTAGTTGTGGTGGAACACACGTGCGGCGTTGACTGGTAACCGCGGTAACGGCCGTGACGACGACGGGGGCGCGTCGACCGTTTTCCCGCCCGGCATTCGGCCGTTGCCACCACGCATGCCACAAGTCAGTTGCCATCCCGCGATGGGCACGTTGCGCACCTGTCTTTGCATACTGATCTGGTTACACGGCGGACTCATCGACAGCATAGGTTAGTATAAAATAACATTTTATCTCTCGTAATGGTAGATTTATAATATTCAATTTACAATAAAAAAAAATAGAAAACCACAACACGTGTGCATCCCTCAATCCCGCAATTGGTTGGAATTTTTTGATAGGGCATCGGATACGAGCACGCGTCCAGACGCTTTGAAGTGAATAACAGTACAAAATGTTATTAACCTGTTTTTTTTTTTTTTTTTTATAAAGCTGGTTAAGCAAATTCATCACGCACAGTATGCATATATAGTTCACAGAAATCGTTCGGTGGGAGATGGGGAAATTAAAAAAGAAACAACTCGCGTTTACACACACCTAGAATATTCAATTTGTTTATGTGTATTTTTCTCGATTTCTGGTCTTCTATTTAAATACAGCGTTTAAAAAACGTACATTTACTGTCGGTAACTGTTTCTAACACGCTATAAACTAACGGTTATGGTATCTACCTACCTAATACCTGTTTTTATATGATCTGTGTGTGCGTGTGAGTGTATGATGTTTTATTTTTTATTTTATGTAGTCGAGGAAAAAAAATACTAGTAATCAAAGACTAAATTGAAATTGTATTGAAATGTGTAGTTTGTGCTAGGCGATGTATATGTAATGTATTGTATTAAAAACGCATTGTAAGACGACGGTGTATAAAAAGTTGACGTGGTAGCGCGGAGAGTAGACAGAGAGAGAGAGAAAGAGAGAAAAGAAAAGTGAAACGGGTTTTTACGCAAATGGGGCAAAATAGCAGAAACAGTACGTCAAAGGCGAACATCTCGACGTTACACGTCATGGGACCGCCTTTCAATTCTAAAAGTTAATACATATTATATGGAATAAGGAAGAAAGTGCCTTTTACAGGGTCACGCCAGGCCACCGAGGCGATATCCAATTCTATTTTTCGATCACAGGACTTAATAAGCAACTCGCGTTTACAGTTTGTATACATAAAAAAAAAAAATAAAATAAAATAAAATAAATTCAAATTTTACTTTAAAACATTTTCACATCAAACAAATAAAATATTTGACAGAACGTTCATGGTTTAAAGGGCAAATCAAATATTTTTTAATGTTATTTACTGTAATTTATCGTGAATAAACGTATTTATAGGTAAACACAAAAATTTTTGATTACTAAATCACTAAAGTTTAAGTGAAAGAGCATTTGAAAAATAAATAAATTATTACAGATTCAATTCGGACATTTTAGATTTTGCACATGATTCGAAATGAAACAATAAATCATATCTTTTAAAATATAATTATTTTTTAGTAAAAATATTGCTTAATATTGTAGTAAACTGCTAAAATCAATTATATTCATTCATTTGCAATAAATGAAAAAGGTTAAAAAGATACAACACTAAATTTATAATTATCATTTATAATTCAAATTGTTTAAATACAAAAAATTACCTACATTAAAATGGTAATTTATTTTTAATTTAAACATTTTAAGAAAAATCATTAATTGCATACCTCAATAAACCAATTTTAATAAAGAAATTATCAATAGTTGAGCATCGTGTATTATTATACTCTGTAGGTACTCGACTGTATTGTCGAGGCTAACATATAATTGAAATTGAAATTATTATATAATATATTTCAAACATATTGTATTATTGTAACTAATAATAAATGAAAATAAATATTTTAAATTACACTTTTCTTCAACCTGTTTAGAAGGTAATCAACGGGAAACTATTTTTGCAAACTCGTTCTTTTTAAAATTATAACGGTATATAGGCACTAATCATAATAACATCATTGACTTACCGAAAACTGTAGCCTTTTTTTCCGTAATATGGTTTAAATTATGTTAAAATAGTAAATAAAAGATGGATATGTAATTAAATAAGTATAATTTTTTATTGTTTTCTTTTTTTTCTTTTATCGTTACATACACACATTTATATTGGAAAAAAAAACTACTGAATTACAGTTATAAAATGTTTATTTTATGCTCGCTTTAGTTTTTCAGTATTTCTCGTAGAACTTTTTTTTTAACTTTCTTGTAGGTTTTTTTATTAGAAATAAACGCACCCATTTTTATTTGGTAAAATTGCTCTAAACTCTCTAACATCGAGCGTGTAAAGCACTTTAACCAGATATTAATTTATTAGAAATCTTATGTAATTGGTACTTTGAAGAGACTACTTCTCGAATTTCTCAATAGTTTAAAAACGTTTTCCAATAAAATAAAAAAAAAAAAAAAAACTATTTCTTTTATTTTTTTAAGAGAAAACTGTAACAAATGTTTAATTTTTGTACTGTGGATAATTATGAACAATTTTTTTCATACGATTAATTTATATTCTAAAGAAAATATTAAGATATTGCTCATTTGGTAAGTTTTTCTTGGTTATGGAAGTTGGTCACGTTTTAAAAACTTTTTGTACTTTCCCCCTTTTAACAAAGTATACTAATTAGTAAGGGTTTATAAAATATATAGGTAAAGGTATTGGAAACATTGTAAACTGTAACTCTTGCTTCATTCAATATACCGTAAGTGGTTTTTTAAATTCATAAATTTAAATATTTCTTGTGAAATAAGCAATACGATTATTTTATATACCGTTGATCAATATATATATAATAATATGAAATTGAGTATACAGTTGATTTACTTTATTGCACAACAATTATTTGTTTTACTTATCTAGTAAATATAACATATACCTTGACGTCATAATCGCTATAATTTAAGTAAGATTAGTTTTGCAAACAATTTTCTACATTAACTCATCACTTATCAATCTTAATGATGTTAACCTTTTAAATTATTTGAGAACAATGCATGTCTAATTAAGCAAAAACATAACAGAGGAGTATTTACACAATTTTTTCACGTATAGGTTGATAAAACGATTTATTTACAATTGTAAATAGGTAGTTAAATCAGATGTTTTATAAAAAATATTAGACTATATTCGTATATGCAATTAGTAAAGATAGTTTATTGTTTGCGTAATAAACTTTTTAAAATTAAAATTATACATACCATAGTATATTACTATAGTAGTGAAGTATGAAAACTATTTTCTAGTTCGAGTGTCGTTAAGTCAAGTTTCAATGTCAGAAGTGTCCAATTTCCACTGTTCATATTACTGATATAATACTTGTATAATAAATTCAAATCTAACACCGGCTATTTCTGTTTTTTATAAATAATACATTTTTTATTCATTGACTAAATTATTATTTTTTTTTAAACTCACATAAGCTATAAAAATTATGGGCACATAATGTTACACAAGTGATCGTAGCGTAATTTGTTTAGTCTGTTTGATTGTAATTTAACCAGTTTATTTGAAAAATTGTTATTCTGGATTAGACAAAACCTATACATCGAACAAACCACAACCATAATTTTTGTGCAAATATTATTTGGTGTGCTTGAAAGGCTCAATTAATTTGTTACGATGGATTGAAGGTATATATTTCAATGTAATAAATATAACTTCAGAATACTGTGTACAATATATGTTATTAATAATAATAATAACTTATTACGCATACCCGCTCATGCGATTAGTATTTATATTGTCCGTGATCCGCACAAGAACGATTTTAAATATTCCGATTTTACCAAAAGGATCACTCTCTCAAAGGGAGTCGAACGAAATTATACTAAATCATTCTAAAAAATATGTCTGCTGATCGTCTATTTCGACCTAACCGTGTGGTGTTTTGTAAATTCAAACGCCACTGCTCTGCAATCCATTGACGTTGCACTTTACTCGACACTACGAGTACGCGTGCATTTTTCCTTTGCGCTCGGGTTGAAACATAAATAATCAGCTCACTATCCGTCGACTTGTCCAATAACATTTCGATGGCACCACAAAAAATCCGTATACGTGATCATCGCTCTGTATAAGATTCTATCTGGTGGAGACTGTAGTACAGTAACATTTAGCATCCTGCTATATTGAATGTACGTGCCAGGGCCTAAAATATAAAATTGTTATATTTTGAATAAACTTTTGAGGACTGGGTGCCAATGTGAGCATATATGAAGATGATTAGCTATCTGAAAAGTGATTTTACGATGGTTGTATATTTTGTATATATGTTTAAAATAGTTTATATGATCCCAATACAAAATTCATTTTAAAAAGTTATAAGCATATCTTTTTTTTTTTTTTAGTTCCTTAAATATTATATATATTAGCTGAAGCCGTACACTTCGAAACTGTGTGTTACCTGTGATTATGTTAGCTGTATATTTTTATAAGTATATATAAATAACGGTTAAAATATACTACGTAGTAATCTTAAAACGAAATTCAATTTAGTTTATCATTATGTAATTTAATTCGTTTTATCAAGAAAAATCAGACAAATCAAGTATTTAATTGAATGATATTTATTGAAGTGCATTCGTATTCACAATATTTTTTGTTCATCCTTCTGGTACTTATGCAAATAAATCAGAAGGTTTTCCGACGCTTGAGCATGGCACTTACAGTTGTCCGTGTGAGAAGCATAGATTTTCCAACACACTTGTAGATATTGTCCTTATGATTTATGACGCTTTTATGATGGTCATTGCAAAGGTGAATTGCACCGGAAACTGCAAACATTTGAATTTGAAAATCATATAAAATATATCCTACATATTATGTAGGAATCATTGGGATCCGTGGAAACAGTAAATCTTTGCCTTTAAACTTTCCGTTTAAAATTGTTGCTCCGATAATGTTGTTCATCAACTTTTTCGCTGAAACTCTGATACCGTTACAAAGTCTTGGTGAATTTACATTTTGTAGAAAAATGATGGGCGTACCATATTTCAATGTTAGAACGTGTGATGGCAAGCCTGGCAAATCAAGTAAATTTAAGAATTCAGTTGGATATTTGACAAGTTCGTCTCGATTCAATACGCTATCGATGGACTGATACGTTGTCGTGTTCCCTGGAATTTCGTTTAGAATGGTGATATTGATTGTAACTAAACCATAGTTTTTGGTTTCCAATATAGCCCGTG